TATATATATATATATATATATATATATATATATATATATATATATATATATATATATAAGGAGAAGATTAAAAAGCGATTTTTATATTTTTATTGTTTATTTGAAGTGATGTTGCTAAAATGCTAATATTGTGACGTAGACAAAACTTGTGCTTGCAAAAATGCAAGAGAGAATGCGGAAGCAAGTGTCTTCAACAAAAAGTTTTAAATAATATATCTTCTTTTCAGTTACTTCAGAGCTGATGCCGAGACTTTATGAAATACAATATTTATATCTTGATTGCTTTTAAATGTATTCGGTTCCAAAAAATATACAACTTTTCATCATTCCATTAGTTTTTCCATGTGTTTTTAGAAATGGAAGAAATAATTTTAATAAATATTTAATATGAAAGGATTGTTTATCAAGTTAGCTACGTGTCACGGTTGGAATATGAATGATATGCTTGTCTCATGAGTCGCATATATGAGAAATTAGAAGGAAAAAAAAAATCTAGATAGGAGAAACAATTTTTGGGTTGATAAAAGATATCAGCTAATTTGATATCTGATGGCAACTTAATTTTTATATGACGGGCTTCCATTTATAAAATGGTGAATTTTATATTACCGTGAAAGAGGAAGCATAACTTCTCCACCGTTGAATAATCACCGCTGCATCTTGACGTCTTAATAGCGCTATTGATACCATCATACATTCTATCCAAATTGCTACACACAACACCAGAAGGAAGGAAGCATGTGATAGCATGATTTAAAAAATAAATAACAATTGATATTAGTTATACATTTATCCTCTCTCCATGCATTTGCACCAAATACCACCAAATCTCATTTGGCGCGAAATCGGCTAACCGTTGAGTGACGTTGGTGAAATGTTTTCTTACCACGGTTCGTCCTTGCAGAAGCTGTTATCCCAGTTTTATAAAAAAATCAGAAATTTCCAAATATTTGCTCGTCTTTTTTGGGAACACTTATGTTCACAATTGTTCTAAATTTTATTTCGGGCAGTGTCAATGTCCTGCCACCGACTACGAAATCCGACGATCAACAGTGGAAGCTTTCTATGGTGAGATTTGCTATGTTTATTCATAAGCCACTTATTTCTCATTTTCTTTAAAACGTCTTTTTCACAATAGTCTTGAGACAAACAATTTAGAAAAGCCCTATTCATCACAAGTCTATTTTCTGCATGCAAATAGCGAATTATCACTGATTTGCTCAATTCCTAAACAATCTTCCAACAATAGGCTGACAATCATTCCATGCTGAATTATCGATCTGTGAATATTGCCAGAAAATATTTGATCCACAATCGAATACCAGTCTGAATCAATTGCGATGCCACTTACAAATGACATGGCACAGAGGCGTTTGAATAGATGGGTAGATGAGATAATTGTTCAGACTTCATGATAACTGAAACGCATTGATAACATAATGAAATTTCCTGTGACCTTTGTCTCGAAATATTTCATCTGTTTGAGTGAGTATATTTGTTGCAATATAGTATCTGCTTAAAGAAATGAACTGTAAACTGTCGACAATGTTATACGACAGTCTCTTGCGATTATGAAGTAAATTTTTACGAAACAGAAATCCGAAATGTCCATATTGTAACATAGTTTAGCCATGTAGGATACGTTTCTGCTGAAATTGGCGATGCGAACACTCAGTATTACCTTGACATTTATTTTTAGAACACAACATCAGTGCTGTTTAATTAATTTGCACTAAAAAGAAAGTTATCAATGATTTGTACCAAGACTTGCAATCCATTTTTATCAAGGTACGATGAATCGCCTAGAGTGTCAAACATTTTACTAGTATCAAAACAGATGTTTGCTAACATTTCGCGTGCGATGAAAAGAGGATGAAAATGCATTTTTCCCCCTCTGCGATAAAGGTCTGTATGTCCAAAGCTATACAAAATGATCGTGTTTATTTCTTTAACTTGCTCATATAGGCCCAGACCGGATGTCTGCAAGTAATTTTAACTTTATTATTCATATCCGATATTTTACTGTTACCATTCCAAAACGGTCCAAGTTACTGAGTTGGACCGAGTACTGCAGTTTATGCAAAATAAGTTATCATTGACCATACAGCATGATTCGTGACAGGTACATAACAAATCATGACTCGTATTTCTTAAGAAAGAATGGAATACAAATGTGGCAGCTTTAATTCATAAAAGCCCTGAGGAAAAGTCAAAATCCATTTCACTCTAAAACGATGTATTAGTTTTTGCAACATAACAACGTAGATATCGTCTAATTGTTAAAGAAGTTACAAGAAAAAAAATTCATAGAGTACTTATATTCCGCAATGAAAATAACTGTGCTGGAAAATAAACTGATCAGTAATAATGAGAAGATTTGAATTTATTTTTATAGCATTGGCCCATTGACCCATTTGTTGGTACAAAAACAGCTTTCATGAAAACAAGACAGGTTTCGCAATGAATTAGACATTTCAAGTGTATTTTTGGACTACCGACACCCTTGTGGAGAACTAATTTAGCAATCGCGCCAGTTTCCCTAGATAGCCATTAGATACTTTAAACCGAAACAAAATCAATGTAAAACGTTCAAAAGCTTTATCATTTTCAGTCTTATTTTAATTATTTTATTTCCACATTCAACAACTATGCTTGAAAATATTTCAGATGTAGGCATTATGTGTTGCTAGTTAGGACAAAAGATTCTGCGCCTTGAAGGAAAAATAGTATCTCTTTCTCTGTAAGTAAGATTTTGTTTCGAACCGCGATAGGTAAAATTACACAATTTTCAATTATTTTTGCCATGAGGATACCTAAAAGATTATGTTTCAAATGGTTTGGTACAAGTCACTCTTCGTCATGGAAAATTATTTTCGGTGTTTAAAAACAATACAATTCTTTATTGATTATTTTTTTCCATTCGTGGTGAATAATTTAAGAACGAAATTGACAACTAAGAAAGGATTTGTCTTAAAGAACTTAAGTTGTTGAAACTATATAGGGTTAAACCTACTGAGTACGATAATTAGGACTTCGGATAGATCCTGACTTAATTTATTCATAAGCAACCTATTGATCTAAGAAATATTGATATTCAATTCTGACTGAGTTTATTGTTTACACAGTTTGCACATTTCAATTGGATATGTTTCAGATTTTGAATTACTATGAAGAAACACAGACATGTTTTGTAAACTAAATTAGGGATAAACCCTGGTCTCATTAAAATATACATACGTTTTGTGCTGTGCGATTTTCTCTCTACGATGCTCTGGTAAAGATCTTCGTTGATCTCAGTTACGGGTAGAAAGAACTTCGGTAAAGAAAAACCCTCTAGAAGGGATACTACAAAGATATCTCTATTTAAAAATTCAACTGTACATATTTTCTGCATTCTTTTAAGCAATAATAATACTGAAAACTTCAAAGGATATAATTAAATACCATACCGACGCACTTATTGTTGCTCAATCAAACAAACAAAATATGGTCATTTGTATGACGTCAGGTTGTTTTCGCAGTTATCATAATTACTTAAGACATCAACTCATTTTATTAGCCAACGAAAATTGACTGACATTGACATTTGTAGGTCAAGCAACCAAAAAGAACTTTACTTTGGTAAAGTCAGTCTTGATTATCAGAGAGTGTAAAGACTCGCACCTTTATGCTTTCTAGTCGGGCTAATTAGCTATCGGACCGGTATGCATCGAATTAATGGTACATGAAGTCGAGTGTCCCGAGAATAAGTCTAGAATAATGATCACTCTGTCTGTTTCTTAATCTCCCGGTTTGAAATATATATATATATATATATATATATATATATATATATATATATATATATATATATATATATATATATATATATATATATATATATATATATATATATATATATATATATATATATATATATGGTGAGAAATAGGGCCCACCATGATATTGACCTATTGTTTGCTTCTATTTAATTTGCACATTGCAAAGTAAACGAAATCTTTTTTTTGTCCAGACTCTGATATGTGTTAATAGATGTCTATGAATCGGTTAAAGGTTTGCTACACGCGATCTAACAAAGCATTGAAAGATCTTGATAATAGTGATTTATGGAATCTACGCCTTACTATCAGATAAGTACGATCTATGGATTATTTTATGTGCAACCCTAACCCGATGACCGCCCCCATGAAGGTGGGTTTAGGTAATTAGTGAAATTTATGGATCTGTTCGGACTACTGGAATATTGACGTCTTGCTAACTTTGTCATCGAAGCACATTTAATTTGCACCGGTTCTCAGTTGCAAGCTATTTAATGAGCTACTCCGACTAATTAACACAAATAATACGGCATGATATCTTGATAATAGTACATTTTCATGATCTGGTTCATGTTGGTAAAGGAAATACACATATATTGTGGACAACAGATGTAATAGCAATAAGTTGACTGGCGGTCGGAAATGTACCTTTATATTGGGTAATGTTAAACTGCTACCGTATATACCAACATAGAAATCATTTTCATAGTAGGACGGATGTTTGTAAGTTCATGTTAATATCTATACAGGACTAAACGTTAGTTCTTGAGATTGATATTTTTCGTTTATGAGGTTCTATTTAGTGAAGTATCGAGTACACAAAACCTTTTTTAAGGAAAAGATTTAACCTTAGAAAAAGTTTTTAAGTAAGTTTGATGCATGAACAACAAGTTTATAGCAGCAGCACTTGCAAATATATTTGCAGCAAAGTGTGTGTGTGCGTGTGTGTGTGTGTATGTGATTTGGATTTTTAACATAGGTTTTAAAAAATTCAGTCTTATCGCTACGATGGCTGCAGTGTGGTTGTTGATAGTAGTGTCAAGCATTATGCCGCAGATATGTAACATGATGCCTCACCTAGTCACATTATCCTGACACCATGCCGAGCAGTCATAACACTAACGTCTTAATGCTGAGTGCCTATCGAGGCAGCTGTTAGTGCCCTTTTTAAAATCTTTGGTATGATTCAGTCTGGGTTCGAACCAGTGACCTCCCGCATTTGAGGCGGACGTTCAACCCACTAGGCCATCGGAGCGGTCGCACCTAAATGTAAATTCTTCATATGGCCAAGGACAGGAATTCAATGAAATTTGAACGGTATAACGTATTTAAAGCAAAGTGAAATAAATTCTTGCAAAGGTAAGCTTCGCAACCAAATGTGATATAGCCATTTATTTAGGTTTTTCAATGTCATTTGTCCTTGCGAAGAAATAAGAGACGAAGTAATTGCTGATATTGTTAATCCAAAGAAAAAAGTATTTGGAACTATGGCTTAAGAACAGGCTATTTTGTTTTTTGTTCGTAAGTTTTAATATCCAGAAATTATCATAAACAATCGTCTAATCCGTTTGATCTGACGATGTTTCATTGATACATCTTAAAATGTATATATTTTTGTAAACTTTTCTTTGAAAGGAATTAAAGCTTGCCGAGATTTCTTTCAAAGAAAATGCATTCCAATTATGCAATATATATATATATATATATATATATATATATATCGATATATATATATATATATATATCTACATATATATATATATATATATATATATTGTTTATATCAAAATACAAGCAAAAATACACGTACTTCCAACGGAGTTAAGACTGACTACCGGCAATTGTGCTTTGACGGAGTTTATGAACTCTTCTCATCCCTGCTCTCTGTATCACCTTCAATGTGTATTTGTTTACCGTTTGTAGCTATTCACCGTCCTCTTTGTAAATTGATACGTTGCTTTTGAGCTTCTGTTTTCATTCATATTGGTTGCATAAATATAAGACAAACGTATGATTTAAACACGAAAAATTGCTTGCATGAAGAAAACAGATAACAGCATGGTTAGCGTCTTGAACACTGAACACACAATCATTCACTTACCGGCAGGTATTTTGCAACGAGTGGTAGATTTAAACTATGGGAAAGGTCGAACCAACAAGTTGTTATTGTTGTTGTAGGTTTTAGCGCCATTTTTCAGCACAAGATAGGCTATACATGCGGCCAGTATAAATGGTGGAGGAACCTTTTTCATGTACCCACATTAGCCGAGCCTGAGACTCGAAAAAGAGGTAATTTAAACATTCAAATTTATTTACAGTTGTTCTAACTCATTACTATGCTTTAATTAACACTGATATTTATCATATAATTGCGTCTATTTATATCTTCCCCATTTCCGTTAGTCTTTTTGAGAGAGAGAGAGAGAGAGAGAGAGAGAGAGAGAGAGAGAGAGAGAGAGAGAGAGAGAGAGAGAGAGAGAGAGAGAGAGAGAGAGAGAGAGAGAGAGAGATATGACATCGTGTACCATGTTTCATTCATTTAGAAAATTGGGATTATTGCTATTTTTGTAGTTAGTATCTTACGTCCATTATTATTCAATGAAAATTCACCGTTGTTTTTGAGAGTATATAATCGATAGCCTGCTTCAAACATAGCGCACTGTTAAGACAATATTTATATATGCGTATTATTGCGCCATGGGAAAATGACAATTTGATATATCAGTAGTATTGGTATATCAAATTGTTTTATACCAACACCCTGAAAGCCATGTTAATTTTGATGTGAATATGGTATTTGCAGATTCGTGCTGGTGTAAGCAATGTTTTATAGCAGCTAAGGAATACAACACAACAATATCGGGTTCATATTTTCAGTGTCAACGCAGTTTGCAACGGGAGTGGGAGAGTGTGGAAGGATATTGGCTCCAGCAAAGCTTCAAGTCCAACACTGTATAAGTTGAATTTTTATTAATAAGAAACTCTTATCATAACCAAATTTAAAAATGGTGACATGACTCGTGTCTTAACATAGTTACCCACTATGGTCAGCGCTTTAATTTGAGGAACAAAATTATGCAAAATACAATGTTGACCTCTAATTTGGTTCTAGTAAATGGTCGAATTCCAGCTCAAAATTCGTGCATAAAGTGTGGAGAAAAGGAGATATAACACAATTTTCGAATCCGTATACAAGACACAATTAAAGTATAGAAAACCAAGTTTGTATGCGTATTCCAGACTTTGGCTCTTCATCTCAATCAGTATTGAAGCTTTGCTAATTTTCTGTCACCACTCAGAACTTTACTAATTTCCTAACACACTCTACTAACATTGCCGATTTCCTGCACCAACTCCAGACCTTTATTAGCACGACTCAGAAATGAGCAGTATAGAAGAAGTCCTTGCAACAATGTCATGAGCTAAATTATAAGTCCTTTGATGAATAACATAAGTTTTAATTTATGAGAGAGAGAGAGAGAGAGAGAGAGAGAGAGAGAGAGAGAGAGAGAGAGAGAGAGAGAGAGAGAGAGAGAGAGAGAGAGAGAGAGAGAGAGAGTATCCCAACCCTAGGATTTATAATATCCTCCTGCCTCACCTGCCACAAACCCAGGATTTTAATTTCAATATCGGCCCTAAGGAAGTTTGTATCAGACTCGTTGATTAAAAACGACTTGTCGAAAAAGAATTCGAGGACAAAAAAAAACACTTAAAATACGACACAAATGAATTGTACACCAGGAGGAGTCTGTCTGTCTTTCTGCTTGTCTCTCTCTCTAAAGAAGAGTTTCATCATTAATTTATCCGTCGCTATAGTAATCTCTCTTGCGTTGAAGCCTTTGTAATAATCTTTAGATTTGTTTTCAAATCTGATAACAAAGGTAGTAAACAAAGTGAATCCATTTTCAGGAGTTGATTGAGGTCATTGATATTATACGCATACGTATATCAGAATGCAAGAGCTATGTAGGTCGACTGGTTAATGCTTATCACTCACGTAGTAAGTGAATTCCCAGTCTGTGCATTTCGTGCAGTAAGTTGGATTTATATTCATGCTAAGATTTTCTTTATGTTTAATCTGAATATTTAACAAAAGTATAAAATTATTTACTTGTACAAAAAGTTTCAACAATGGCTACCATCTTGTTTTGCCATGTCCACATTTAGCATTACTCACTATCAAACTGTATATTTGGAAAATATTCCGAAATGAAAAAAAAAGACTACATCGCTTTTAATACATTTTGGAAAGGTACGAAACTGACTTTCTTTTCGGACATTTCACAGAGTTTTGAAGAAGTTCAAACAATCAGTGAAAGAAATGCACACTTTCTAGAACACAATATAAACCAATTTAATTAGTAAGACATATATGACGTCATTGAAATAATTCTTGGAAGCTGTTTAGAAATGTATTATCTTATTTAAATTACGTATTTGCTAAAAGTAATGTTGCCATAGAATGAAAACAAATATAGTTTTCTGCCAAACAAATTAACCTTGGTGTAAAGTAACTATCGATGTATTTTAGTGTTTTGAAAATAATAATAAAACAATGAACCAAATAACCCACGCAGTTTCAGGAGTATCGCATACAGTAAATTAACTAATTGTAGCACAAAATAATTTTTAACTTTAGTTTCATATTCTGACTTCGTGCTGTAATCATGAAAGAGTGATGCTTTTTATTTTGAGGCTCTGCATTCCTAACGTTTTACTCAAGTACAACAATAATTTGTAAATAAGATACAATAGAAAAACAAATATATGGTTAAAAAGGACACACCAAATATAAAGAAAGACTTTAAAGCACCACAACACTTTCTGCTTTAGAAACATTGAAAATAATTTGTACCAGAGGCCAACAGATTTAGGCCCTTTTACTATCTATCTATCTATCTATCTATCTATCTATCTATCTATCTATCTATCTATCTATCTATCTATCTATCATCTACCTCCTACCTATCTATCTATCTATCTATCTATCTATCTATCTATCTATCTATCTATCTATCTATCTATCTATCTATCTATCTCTCTCTCTCTCTCTCTCTCTCTCTCTCTCTCTCTCTCTCTCTCTATATATATATATATATATATATATATATATATATATATATATATATATATATATATATATATATATATATATATATATATATATATATATATATATATATATATAACAACCAAAAATAAATGAGGAGATAAATAATTGGATCACTTTGGCAAACAAATTAAAAACAAGTATTTCTTATCAGTGTTTTACATTCTTTTTATCGAGATAAAACTCAGATTAATGTTCTGAGATTCTGCATACGATACATAAACAAAGGATATTGCGAAATATTAATGATGTTCATACATTTGCTTTGCCTAGTAAAATCACCACCTAGATTCTTTCCACAAAGCGATAAGAAAACTTTTGAAAAGTCGATAACGTGAAGGAAGAGTGAGTACTGAAAAATATTATGAATACTGACAAGTCCTTGGCTAGAAAAAAAGAGAAATACAGAAAACAAGAGTTGCTTTGGATAAGAAGATGCAGATGTAATTTTTTATTGAACATCTTGCCACATGAACTTATTCAAATATAAAGTTTTCTTCAAATAAATCATTACCAACTTAAATCTGCTTCCATAGTTAAGGGTGATTAAGTGCTACATGAACGATCATTTCAAAAGATAGACTTATTTCGAAATAATAATAATAATAATAATAATAATAATAATAATAATAATAATAATAATAATAATAATAATAATAATAATAATAATAATAATAAGGACTTTATATAGCACCAAATCTTTAAAAGCTCTACGCGCTTGACAACATTTGACAACGCTGAAAAAAAGAATATGAAAAACAAACCATATATAATGAAATGATTACAAAAAATGAAAAGAAACAACTCAAAATTAGAAACAGAAAAAAATTTAAGGTAAGGATACGTTAAAAAGAATACATAATTAGGTCATTATGACTGTTCTTGCAGTTGAAATATATGGGTTTTAAGGGCGCTCTTGAATAAGATCACTGTGTCTTTGTGTCTAAGTGCAGTGGGCAATTCATTCTACCTTGCTGAGCCCTGGTACGCAAAAGAACGTTGTCCATATGATTTCAACTTCATAGTGGGAATATTGAGAATGCGAGTGGCAGAATAGGAGCGTAAGCATCTTGCAGGTGTGTACACATGGGTGAGGTCAGATAGGTATGTTGGACTGGATACCGTCAGTGAAACGGAGCACAGAG